AAAATCTGTTTCATAAGAAAAATCCATTGAAATAGATTTATTTTATAATTTAATCGATGAAAATCCATTTCATAAGGAAAATCTATGAAAATTTATTTATTTTATAATTTAATCGATGAAAATCAATCTTTATACGACAAATCAATTGAAATCTACTATGTGTTACGGTTTAAACGATTAAAATCGATTAAAACTTATATAATCGATTGACACCTATTTTTCGACTAGATTTAATCAGAAAATGTGGTATTTAATCATATTTTCTTGATTTTTCTCGAAAAATCGATTTTAATCATATTTTTTATCGTTTTTTTTTACATGGGTAGTAACGCACTCACAATTTTGGTAACGCACTCATACTTTATTCTAATTTCTTTTTTGCTCTGTACCACTGAACTTTTTTTTTTATAGACAATATACAATATCATTTCTTTTTTTCTTTATTATCAAAATCTTCCAGTTTAGTCATATAATGAAAGGCAAATAAGTCACAAGAGTGTAACAAAATAAGGTATGAAATATAGTATAATATAAATTTCAGAAAAAATACATAGTACAATCAAAGCCAATATACTGTAAATAATACAGCAAACACGAAAAAATACTTTAAACAATAAATTATGATTTAATTTCTTGTAAAATCTAAAATCCAATAATATGAATATATGATGATCGCGTGAGTGCGTTACCATTTTCTCCCCATCATGAAGAGATAAGCTATAGCAAATAGGAGCTTTAGATAGCTCATTGAAAGTTAACAACGTTGTATAAGTTTCAATTAAAATACTCGAGTTGTTCGTGTGCTATAAAAACTACAAGCATGTTTTGGTAACACACTCACTCTTAGAATTTATTGAACTCGTAAAGCTCCATATTTTCTACCATCAATACTGTAGTAGATATTATTCATAACAAGTGGTGACTCAAACCTTAAAGATCGAAAACACATAGCACACTTTAATCTATAGCTTTTCCCAAGTTAATTTTTTATATTTTTTTGCAATGAGAAAAATATGACGATATTTATATTAGAAAGGTGCCACTATTGTCCGGCCATTAATTTTTTGATTTTTGGTACTTGAAAAGGAAATGAAATACATTTTCATATACACCAAAGTGTGCTCTACAAAATGGGATAAACCATTTTTTAAAATTATCGACTTCTACTTTAATCACCTAGGGTGACCGTTACGCGGACAAGCCGTATAATATATATTGTTATTCAAAAAAGTGAAAATTGCGTTTTTGTGATACTTTCCGTAAACAAACGAAAACTCCTGATCAAAATCGAAAAACGTGTACACAAAATGACAACTTTGACTGAGTATATCGAGAAAATAAGAAAGAAAATTCTCGAAGAACTAGAGAAATGCTTTGCTTCGCACCGCATTAATAATCTTTCGCACCGATAGTTCCTTATTTTATATATATATATATTTTCATCGTTTCATAGATGAGCACAACTACTCTCCCGGTTAATTGTTGTGGTTAATGTCATTCATTAGAAAAATAATCTTCTACACCGATAGTTCCTCATTTTATATATTTTTTTTCTTCTTCTTTTCTTTTTTATCATTTCAAAGATGAATACAACAGCTCTGCCGATTTCTCTATTAAAAGATTCTAATACTTCAATCATAATTAATCAATCATGGTTTATTCCTCTCGATATTTTGTTACTTGTATGTCTTTTCCTAGCCATTCTGATGTCTTTATTATTTTTCTTTATTGTTTTAACCGATAAAACATGTCATACAGTTCCTATTATGCTTGTTACTAATTCATGTTTTGCTAATTTTTCATTAACAATTTTTTTGTTTTGGATGACAATTATTACTCTTTATAATGATCTTCAACAAATTTATTATCAAGATTCATTTTGTATTTTTCGAGGTTATATGACTCATGTTGCTTTTTTTTGGTTATTTTATTCTTATTTTTTACAAGCAATTTATAGTTATATAACAGTTATTTATCCAACTCGTTTATTTTGGCAATCAAGGAAATTTCAATTTTTTCTCATTATATTAATATGGATAGTTGGTTTTATTTGTGCATGTCCAGGTATAGCTACTGGTGCAATAAAATATCTTGTTGATGATCAATTATGTGAAATACCATTTCATTTTTCGATCGTAACAGTTTATAATATAATTTATATTTATTTAATACCTGTCAATGGTATAATATTTATTTATTACAAATTAATTCTATATGTTAGAGAAATGAATAAGCGTGTTACATCAGCAAATACATTATTACGTGCACAAAGAGAATTAAAAATGGTTTTTCGAATTGTTATACTTATATCAATTTTATTAACACTTAGTGTACCTTATACAATATTTGTTTTTATGGGATTTTTCACTTCACCACTAAAATATGATTTTCGTATTGCTTTGACATTTGTTGAGTCATCATTATTATTTTTCATGATTGTTGTATTCAAATTTACTGATCCAGTTCGAGCATCAATTATGAAAAAACTACATCAACGATTAAATGTAGTCGCACCAATAATGACATGAGTTATTTAATTATTTCGAAATATTTTCACAAATTTCTTTTTATTATTATGTCTGACCAAGGATGGTTCATTTCAGTGGCGGCGGAGCGTGGAGGCTCAAGAGGCTTAAGCCTCACTTACTTTCGGATTGAATATTATCTTTTATTATTAGAATTTGTTATGTTGGGCATCTAGCATAACTAGATATATATTATGACATATCTACCTTTTAATGTTGTTCACCTATTTTTTATATGTTTTTCTTTTCTCTATTTTTTTATCGCATAGATATCACATACAGTTTATATATATATATATATCATGTATGTTTTTCTTTTCTTTTACTTGGATATTTCCCTTTTCTATATAGTACTCAAGTATTTTCCCTTTTTTCTTACATGTTTTCTTGTTCGTATGTTTAGTTTTTCCTCCTTTCGTCTATATATGTTTTATTCCTAGAACGTTTGTTTTTTTCAAGCGCATATACACATACACATATATATTATTACGGCAATAAAGAAATAGCTCTGTAGTGATCGAATTCATTTATATCCTCTTCACAGTGTATTTAATGGCTGAAAAATATCCAAACATTCATCCATTTTTCTTTTTAACACATATGCAAAGAAAAGTCTCTGTTCAACTTTCGCATCGAAGAACGAACAGAGAAAGTTATTTTTTGGTAGGTTCTGATTTGTTTTATTTTCACAATGACCGTTATAGTTTTCATTGAGGTCTAATAAAAAGAGGACTTATATTTTGCTTCATGTTGTAATAAAAGTTGATAGTAGAAAAAAGTATTGTGAGCCTCACTTAGGTTAATGACGCTCCGCCGCCCCTGGTTTATTTATATGAAGCGTTAACATTTAATTTGAGGCTGTCAAATGTAAAATCTTATAAATAGAATTACGAGAACATCTCTTTATTTGAAGAGATTTATTTTATGTTACTCTTATCTAAAAAAACTACGTTCAAACGTAATTTACAGATGTACTCAAGCGATTTTATATTAATTGATCATGCTTTTATACGTTTAAATGATCAAACGTAGTCGAATTGGAGCGTATTTTATTCTTTGAATGAATGTAGATGCGTTTGAACACATTTAGAAGTAAAAATAAAATAAAATAATTATTGAAAGTCTAGTGAATTTGGATTTTTTTTGATAATTAGATGTGATTTGTTTTATTTTTATCCTGAATTCTTTTTCTTTCTATCTGTTGAAATAACAGATATTAACATTAAGAAATATAATTACCAAAAATTATTCCTTATTTATATATATTGAATGATTTCTTTTTCAAAGAAATTAATTTATCATCTTTTGATAAAAATCGAGATCTTGTTTATTGATTCAAGTGTGTGTATTTATAACTAAAGGTTGGATTTTCTAGTCTCACTTATCGTACAATTTGAATGTGTATAAAAATAGAATAAATGTCGGATTTGAATACCACGTGTGAATAGGTGTGATCGAATGTCTTATACATAGACACACTCTTAAGTCAACTACAATGTTAGACACGATGCAGTAAGCGTTAGTATGTAAAGTAAAATGGGTCGATTCTTCTTCTTATGTACTCTCATCGTTTATCGATCTTTCCCTCGACTGATGCCGATTAGGTACTATCCGATAATTTCAATTCTTCCAACAGCATTTATCACATAGTTTGAAGCTCGTAACTTGGATTTTTCACCAATTAAACGATTTGAAATCGTTCTGAGTTTTATAGTGCAGATAAGGCAGATATTAGTATACCGTTAGACAAAAAACTGAAAAGAAGTGGGCGGTTCTCTTAAAAATATAATAACGCCTGCTGCCGCTTCAATATATCACTTGATGCTTTATTCAATTACATTTTTTTTTGTATTTATCAGAGGAAAGATTAGAACGATTAGCAATAATGGAGAGAACATTAAATTTCCAATTATTGATATGTGAATAAATACATCTATTCTATTTCAATTAAATTGACTTAAGATATCATATCTATGTTTTAGAAATAGAAGCACACATTTTTCAAACAAAATCATTTGAGTTTAGAATCAACTATGAGTAGAATCAGGATATACTGTTATATTACTGTCACTAGTTTCAGGTAAATAATATTGATTTTTATCATTCATTTTGTTAACATTTTCATCGATTTTTATATTTTAGTCCTACAGGTTTGCTTTTTATTCTATTTTATGTGTTTTTCTATAAGTTCATTACTTTTATAGTTAAATTAGAACTTCACATATGTGAGAAAATTGCTCAATATGGTGAATGTTCGACAAATAGTGCATGTGGTTGTTTTCATAGGATAGGTACAAATGAGGGCACAGACATTTGTGGTTTTCTCTGGCCAACATGTTCTCAACTTGTACCATGTAACTCTTCAGACAATTCATGTACTCAATCGAATACGATTTATGTTCCACATCATCAATGTTATCCAATTGCAATGATTGATCAAAAAATGTGTCCACCAATGATAAGTGAGTAGATCGATAAATGATAGATACAACATTTCTTATTCACACTTTCAAGATATGTACAATTATAAATTTGATCTATTTTAGATAAGATCAATTCTACATGGAAGCAAAATGAAATAACTACTGCTGCTGGAAGAAATGACTTTAGAAATCAATTAAATCAACTCTTGAGGGTGTGTGTGTGGGTATAGATATTATATTAATCATAAATCCACATCCTCACTCACACCCTCAAATCAATTCAATCACCCTACTGGTTTATTATTTGCTATTGAAGGAAATCTTTATGTCACTAATTGAAACAATCTTCAAGTTCAAAAATATTTAATTGAATTCTAAATTGAAAATATTTGATTTGAAAAGAAATAAAATGAAAAGAAAAGGAGATTTTTTTTTGTTTTAATTTTTAAAAACAATGAAATTGAAATTTTGCTAACGAATTAGCGGGATTCATGAATACAGATATAACTTGTATCGATATTGTTCCTATCATCAATCAAACCGTAATATATTCACAAGTGCTAATCTTCAAGATGTAGAGGTCATGAGTTGCCTAATTTGAATTCGAATATAAACGAACAACTGACTGTCGAGTATCGATTCGAAAATAAATGAAAAATAGTCTCCAAGCATCTTGAGGGTGTGGGTGTGGACTGAATAAAAAATGTATCCAAACCATCATTCATCTACCTTTGCACTCACAGTCTTTTGCGGGTCCTCAATTGAATTTGATACTTGTAATTGAAATCTCATAGTAAACGAATCAACAAGAATTTATACGTCTATTACATCTTTTCCTTTACCGACGCATAGATAGATGTAGATATTATATGTATTCTTGATCAGTATTCACACTCTGCTTAAATATGATTAAAAATCAAATAGCAAAAATAATTCATAATGAGATATATTAGAGTAGACTGATGGTTTGTCAAAAAAACAATATTATCTCTTGACAAACAAAACGCATCAACTTGGTATGTTATTTTCTATATAAATTACACATTTTGAATGAATGGTAATTTATGAATAATTAAAAATATTCATATATCAATGACATTACTATATATCGTTAAAACATTTGATTTGTGCTTTTGCTTTTCGCTTCAACTTAGTGAATATGTTATAACTTAAATTTCTAACAAGTAATGTGTTGACTTTGAAGATCTCGTGTAAATAAATTCTGAGCATACTGCAGTCACATTTAATATTATGTATCACCTTGTGAAGATCAGCGATTGTGAAGAACTAAAAAGCAGCGAAATGAATTTAATTATATAAAATAAGACAATACAAGTAGAATTTTCAATCACTGTTAGTCAGAAATGTTGAAATCTTACTCTATTATTGAATAAATACTCAGAAAGAAAAAGACTATTTTAATTTCAAAATAAAGATTTTTTTTCTTTGCAACGTGCAATCGTCAAAGCTTACATGGCTTTGATTTTTTTCTATTTACTTTTAATTCAACTGACGAAAAATGCTTGTCATAATAAAAACATAAGAAATGTTTGTTTTTCAATCCACTTCCTATTTACTTATGTTTATTCATCATAATCTCCATTGTTACTATAAAAGTGCATACATTTACATCGAATTCATACTTTTTCTTTCATTTCATTGGTATAAAATAACTAAACAAAGAAACGTTCGCTTCTACATAGAATGTTTGATCGATTGGATTATTTCATGTTTGTTATTCTCATTCTGCTCATTTTGAAAGCTGCAAGTGTCTATACCGTTACTTGCAGTTGGCCTAGTATGAATATTTTCAACAATGATCAAAATAAATTGTATATGATATATATATATTGTTTAAATTTAGGCACACCTTGCTACTCCAACGGACAGATTTGGGTACCGTCTTGGTGTTGCCCAGGTTGGAAAGCTTCTTAAAAAATTAAATTTATTATTTGTATGTTCGTTTTTCAGTTTCTAATACCTGTGGAAATAATGGGGAATGTATTGGTCCTGTTACTCCAGCTCCAATATCAAGTATATTTAGAGCAAGAACATATAAACCTACATCCTATTCTGTGATGTGCTGAACATTGTGGAAACAGTTTCATACAATTCCTTTAGTTTATGATGATTTAGTTAACGGAATTCCTATTCGTCACGAATAGCTTAGAATAGATTCAATTCCGTTAATTGGATCATCGTAGAATAAGTCGAATTTTTTGAATGATGTTGTAGTTTGAAGAATCAGATGAAACTAATTTCACAATGTTAAAATGTAACATGATTTTTATTAGATTTACCGGCCATACTTGTTCCTACATGTACCATTGGTGGGACATTTCTCCTATGTTTTTGTCTGCCTGTTGCTTGTTGTATTTTCATTAAACGACATCCACGGTTTTCTACTGTTATTAGGAGGAATCAAAGAGTAGTATATCCAAATGGACAACAATCTAGAGGAGAATCAACAGTACTTTTTGATGTTCAATCTAATTATAATTCCAATACTTCAACTCCATTTTTACCAAATTCTGATAGACCTGAAGCACCACAACCACCACCACCTTATGAATTTGCAAATCCTATTTCTGTCTTCCATTGTCCATCAGAACCGCCACCACCACCATATGAAATAGCAACGATTGAACAGACGATAATATAACTTTAGTTACAATTCTTATTCAACTCTCCAGTCAAAATCTATTTAAAGAGATACGAATAAAAATTTCAAGAATAATATTTTTCCACACTTTTTATTGTATATGAAACAATTTAGTAATAATAAAAAACTAATCATCTTTGTAATAAAAAGTTTTTTTTATTCACATTTTATCTACACCTTCAAGATTTGTTTACAGTAACAAAAAATGAGTCATCAAAGAATGAATGCGTATGTTATAAAAATTCTTTCATATAATCCAAAGATGAATAATTTTTACGAGATAAAACGAAATCTTCAGTCTTTTTTTTCGCACAATTTCGTCAACGAAAGAATGAAAGAGAACATTCTATCATCAAAGGTTCTTCTTTCTGAGGGTGAGATAAGGTGTCAAAATACAGTATGTTTTTTCTGCTCTGAAACTTGTTCAGAAGATTGAATTTCGAACTAAATTCATCGTAAGTCATGTTGAGGAATTTGGCAACAAAGATTATAAACAAACAATATCATGAAAGAGTTCAATGTTGATGGGTGTGGGTGTAGGTGTGGATATTATATTAATCATAAATCCACACCCTCACTCACACCCTCAAATCAATTCAATCACCCTACCGGTTTATTATTTGATGTTGAAAGAAATCTTTATGTCACTGATTGAAACAATCTTCAAGTTCAAAAATACTGAACTTAGTTTTAAATTGGCAATATTTGCTTTGAAAAGAAAAAAATATATTTTTTTGTTTTAGTTTATAAAAGAATGAAACAGAAATTGAATTATTTTACACACACCCTCAATAATGTACTTTTTACATAAAACCGTACGAGAGTACGAACACAAATACTGTCGTTTTATCTCTAGTTCGACTTGTGTTCGGTCTATGACAAATATCTTTCCAGTGATGACATAAGATAAAATATTGAAATATTTGCTGATTGTTATCTACATAAGAAGAAGAACGTATAAAAGTGAAGCAAATATTGTGAAAGATATGAAAATAAATTACATTTCACTTTTTGGGAAGAAGATGTGGACGATATCATCACTATTCTTGGTAGTATTCATAGCTGTTGCACCGCCTGGCGCAAGTAAGACAATTATTTAGATGTAAATTAACGTTGCTACCTTGCTGTCTTAGTATCTAGAATTATATAGCGTGAGAAATCAATTATCTCTTGAAAAAGAAGCCGAATACGAATCAGTATAACTGCTTTTATCGACTCTTATCTTCATAGTGTCGTTGACTTTTCCTGTTAGTATATATAAGATAAAAGTTGGTGCAATCAGTCAATAAAACAGAACTCTCATTTTCAAAATTATTTCATAAACTAAAACGTCTTCTAGTTATAAACATAAATAGATGCACAACGAGCTAACACATTTTTTAGACACACTTTGTTCAAGAGGAATATGGGCTAGAGGTGGAAAAACCGTCATTGGTGGTACGCAAGGAAATGCAACGAATCAATTGCACTCTCCTGAAGGAATATACATGGATTCAACCAATGCTTTATATATAGTAGACCGATTGAACCATCGTATAATAAAGTGGGAACAGGAAGCAATTACTGGAAATGCAGTTGCTGGTGGAATTGGTCCTGGAGTAAAACCAGGTGAACTATTTCAACCAAGAGCAATGACAGTGGACAAACAAGGTACGATGTATATTATTGACAACAGTATGCCAGGTAGTCGTGTGACACGTTGGCAAAAAGGATCAAAAGTGGGTGAAGTTCTGTTTGACTTTAAACATATTATTGCTGGTGGTATAGCCTTCGATCCGAACGATGAAGACTATTTATATTTGGCAGACCGCTATGAACATAGTGTGCTTAGGTTTAATATCAAAAATATTACTGAAAACGGTGAGATCGTGGCTGGCGGAAATCATATAGGACCGGCTCTCAATCAACTTGAATAGCGTAAGTCACAATATTATTGATTTTTCAAGATAACAAGATCATTCCAATTGATGAAATAAAACGCATGTATATTCTCATATGAGAATCATGCCACTAAAAAAGATGATAAGAAGTTTAAAATAATTAGAATGATTTTCTTAGTTTTTCACTCGTACTCTTGCCATTTTATTGTCAAATAACAAAATATATATGTTACTTCATCGTACTTTTTTTTTCAGCCACGCATATAGTAATCGATAGCAATCGAAACTTATACATCGCAGACACTCGAAACAGTCGTATTGTCGTATGGTCTGAGGGGGCAAAAGTCGGTGTCGTGGTTGGAGGTGGCCATGGGGCGGGAAATCAAACAGATCAACTATCTTTTCCAGAAGCTTTTTTCCTCGATCGTCTAACAAACACTATTTATGTTGCTGATAAAAATAACAATCGTGTCATGCGTATTTGAGCTGATGCTCCAAATGCTGGCTTCGTGATTGCTGGAAATAATGGTAAGGGCAATGCAGCTCATCAATTATCTTCTCCACATGGTATAACATTGGACAGTAAAGGCAATCTGTATGTTTCAGATAACGAAAACGATCGAATTCAAATGTTCATGTGTAGTGGTAGTGCCAAGTTTATCGGCTCTCTCTACTTTATAACATTAACTATAACTTTTATTCAATAAAATAATTTAATAAAACTATTTGAAGAGTATACATCTTGAATTTATAGAGCTAATGGCCTTTTTTGCTTATAAAAATAAACTTCAAAATAGTAAAACGTATTTCGTGTAATTACGCCATCTGATTTCTTGTATGCTTACTGATTGACTATATGCACCAATTGAAATTGCCAATTCTATGATTAAGACTATCGTCATTCGATGTGTACATTCTTTATACATAACAATATGATTCAACTTGAATTATTATCTAATGAATTATTACTTGAATTATTTGAATATTTGAATACTAATCATCTTCTTCAAGCTTTCTTTGGATTCAACGATCGATTCAATCAGCTTCTCTATACACATTTTCGTGATCATCAGTTAAATTTTCATTCAATATCTAAAGATAATTTTGATCTTATTTGTCAACAATATCTTCCATCTACTATTGATCAAGTTCATTCACTTTATCTTTCGAATAAAGAAACATCTGATTTACCTGAACTACTTTTTTCTCGTGGTTTTACTCTTGATCGATTTATTAATTTACGCTCACTTTCACTTTACAGTATTCGCTTTCTACATCAATTCAATGGAATAATATATCAATGTCGTTATCTTCCTCATCTCATTCATCTCAATGTAATAAAATGTCCTACCTTTGAATTACGAGAATATATTCTTGTTGAATCAATAAATAATATTTGGAGTATACCAACACTTATTCATTGCAATTTAAATGGTATTCAGAGAAGTGAACAATGGGTATGCAGAATTACATCAGTATCGACCTCGATTAAATATCTTTCTATTGAAAAAAGTCAATGTGAATTAAGTTCATTATCGCATCTTTTAAACTGTACACCTCATCTCGAAAAACTTTCTACAGTTGTTCGATGTTCCAAGTCAGATGAATGTCTAGATTGTGTTATTCCTTCAATGAAATCATTAAAACTTGATTTTCGAGGATCGGCCGATTTATTAAAAAGTATTTTTCAGACAATGCCGAATCTATGTCATTTAACAATTGATTTATCTCAAATGTATTTAGATGGACATGCATGGGAACAAATTATTAACAATTATTTACTAAAACTAAAAATATTTCGATTAAAAATGAAATTTCAACTTGAACAAAATAGTGATAGTATGGTAGACAATGTTGATAAACTTTTAATGACATTTCAAACGACATTTTGGCTCGAAGAATATCGATGGTTTGTTCGATGCCATTGGGATACATCAGATACACTTCGATCAACTATTATCTATACATTACCATATGCATTTAATGAATATTCATATTCAAATGGATTTTATTCGAAATCAACCTGTTTTAATGAAAAAGATTATTGGACATATGATAGTGTAGATATGATAACTCTAAACAACAATAGAAAAACTTCAGTCGATACTCATACAGTTCCTGTCTCTCATTTTCCTAATATTCGTCATCTTGAAATCAATTTTCCATTGAATGAACATTTTTCATTACTTTTTCCATCATTCCATCGTCTGACATCACTTCATATCCACGTCGATACCAATCCTAATTATGATCAACTACAAATGTTAATCAATCAAGCACCTTTTCTTTATTCGCTAAGATTTAGTCCTGCTCAAAAATCTCGTTATGAACTGTTTCAATTAACAAGTAAATCAATTCGTCGACTTGAATTTTCATATACACCATCGACTCGTTCAAACAATTTTTCTAATGAAGATTGTTATAATTTAATTAATTCACCGCTAGGAATTCAATGTGAAGTTCTTTCGATCTGTTTTGAAAACCGTATTGATATTCTTAATCTTATTCAAAAGATGTCTAATCTTCGATTATTAGTTTTTGAATCCGAAGATGATAATGAATTTTTTCGAAGTGTAACACCTGGAGGAGATGAATTTGTTCAATGGTTGAAAAATCATTTATCATCGTCACATTCAATCATTAGAGATCCAAGATCATTTGCTATTCGAATTTGGATCGATCGACAAAATCATAATATCAAAACATTGGAACATCAAAATAAATTTTCATGGTTTCTACCGTTAATAAAACGAATTTTTTCATAAAACTGTATATGATAAATAAACAATGGGTGCGAAGTGAATAGAAAACGTGCGCATTTATTTTGCGTTTGATGACTAGGTAGAAAATTGTAGAGAACAGAAAAGAAAAACGATGACAAGGCAAAAAAATATTATGCACTATATAAATATAACCCATTTTTCTCGTTCATTCTTCATTTGATTCACATAACGTTTATTCTACCACTGAAAACAAGAAAAAAAACCTAAACACAAATGTCGTCTAAACAACAATCGCATCAACGAGTTTTTGTAGTTACTGGTGCTAACAAAGGTATTGGATATGAAGTTGTGAAAAAACTTTCTACAAATCAGCCAAATGATTTAATTTTACTTGGTAGTCGAGATCAAAAACGTGGTGAAGAAGCTCTAGTTCAACTTGGTTCACCTTCAAATGTAAAAGTTCTTGTGCTTGATACATCATCAAAAAAAAGTATTGAACAAGCAAAAGAAGAACTTCAAAATAAATATGATGGTCATCTAGATGTATTAATCAACAATGCTGGTATAGGTATTAATGATCCCAGTTTGAAAGCATTGAAAGATACATTCGATACAAATTTTTATGGAGTCAAACATATGAATGATACAATGTCACCGATGTTAAGAGATAATGGACGTATTGTAAATGTAAGCAGTGGTTTAGGAGCGATGACAATGAAAGAATGTTCACAAGATCTAAAAACAAAATTTCTGAATCCAGATATAACAGATAGTCAATTAGAACAATTATTTGCAGAGTAAGTCTACGAAAATAAAACATTTATTTAATTTCATTATTTTTTTTTGTTTTCATGTTAAGATTATTCAAAGCAGTTGAAGAAGAAAAAGATCCAGCAACAGTTGGTTTTAATCCTGTTATACTTCCTAGTTCCGATGATTATTTTGCATTATACTATGGTGCATCAAAATTAGGCGTTAATACTCTAACTCGTATAGAAGCTCGTGACTGGGAAAAAAAATATTCAGCTAAAAATGTTATTATTAGTGCAGTTTGTCCAGGATTTTGTGCAACTGATTTGAATGGTAATGCACAAGGCGCACGATCAGCTGAATTAGGTGCTGACTCTATTTTACATGCTGTGTATACTGAAAATTTGGAAAATGGACAATTTTGGAGAGATGGTAGTCACCTACCATTCGAAAGTAAATAATGATATATTCAAAATTAATTATTGACTGTAACAGGAACAATTTGATAAAGATTTCATATAAATAAATTTCTCTGGGTTTAAAATGACTTTTTTGATTGCATGCATATTTTCTCACTTTGTATTCGCTTCCTTTTTACACCTATACAGAAAAACGTATTCTAATTAATCATCTCTTGCAAAGTCCTAATTTTTTGTCTGGTTTTTGTGAAAGACCATCTCAAACGTTTAATAGTTTCATTTTCGAAAAATGCTTATTAATTACATAAACTATTTAGAAAGTCATTGAATTCTTTCTTAAGGGTGTGGGTGTGGGTGTGGGTGTGGGTGGGTGTGGGTGTGGGTGGGTGTGGGTGTGGGTGTGGGTGTGGGTGGGGTGTGGGTGTGGGTGTGGGTGTGGGTGTGGGTGTGGGTGTGGGTGGGGTGTGGGTGTGGGTGTGGGTGTGGGGTGTGCGTATGGATTCGGGAGTATATACCTTTCAATACTCAAACCCACACCCACCCTCAAGATAGTTTCGAGTATTTTGCCCATCTCTGTGTCAAACGCGAATATAATCAATTTAAAATAATAGTAAATATTCACTAAGTTTTTATCATTATACAAAAGCACTGAACATATGTATAATCTAATGCAATTATTTTATTATCTTTTACTTATTCTATCAATATTTTGTCGGATGTCGATATAAATGATAGCTAATTATAACATCCACAGTCACTCACATCCTCAACAAAGATCGAAGATACGTGAAAAAACATTTTTCTTTATTCATCACAAGTAATTCACAATTTCATTTTTAGAATTTGAATATTATGTCTCAAATTTTGAAGATGAGGATGATTCGAAGGTAGTGAAAGTTGTGCAATGCTTAGACTACATTCATAAAAGAAGAGTGCTTTCGAATACTCTCCTAAATGACCATACACCGAAGCGGTGTTGTTGCATGAAGTTACTAAAGTAGGATGATTTGAAGAAAAAGTTTCTTCAAAGATTTCAAGTGATATTTCGAAAAACCATCTTGAGGGTGTGGGTGGGTGTGGGTGTGGATTTTATTGCGAATATCGTATTTATAACATCCCACACCCATACACTCACACCCATGCACACACCCACCACTCATCTTTAACAATTTGAGTCTAAAACGACCATGTTAAGTGGGAAACCATTTCTGCCGAGAGAGCCTCAAAAGAATTTTCCTATTGGTTATGTTGATAAAAAAATAATAAGCACAACAAGAAAGGTATACTTTATATGGAAAAAACCTTAACGCTTCATTCGATTACGTGTGTGAAAAAAACCATGTTGAGGTTGATTATTCTTGAGAACATTCGATAAGAACAAATGCGGCAGCCCTGCCAGAGAAAAAGAAAGCAAAATATTTTTCTTCTGACTACTGAGAAAAAACCGTTTTATGTTGGTAAAAACATCCATTACACAGGCTCGTTTGAGATAAGTTTTTTCGATATAACTATATAAATATTGTTTTGGTCTGGTCGTACTGACATTCTACATTCAGTTTCTGTTGAATAACGTAAGGTAATGAACTGCAGTCAATTAATTGTGTGGCTTGATGAAAATGCTCATGATCCTGTGAGTAGTTTTCGTACTAAATTAAGTCAAGATCAACAACAATGTGTGAAAATCTTTACTGAAATCAATGAATGTATTACATTTCTCGAAAATCATGTCAATGAAACAATATTTTTTATTCTTTCTGGTTCAATTGGTTCAAAAGTCGTACCATTAATTTATGATTTTGATTATATACATCAAATATATTTATTTTGTGGTTTAATATCTAGTCATACTAGTTGGGCACTAGATTTTACAGATAAAATGTTAATGTTTGAACATGAAAATGATTTATTGCAAAGACTTTTCAAAGAAATAGAAACATATCTTCGTCAACAAGC